CGGATGTCTGCCCGGGCTGGGGCTGGGGCTGGGGCTGGGGCTGGTTTCAAGCACAACATTCCGGCCGCGCTGGCCCGGCTTGCACTTCCCAGAAGACCTGCAGGGAAGAGAAAACCAAACCAAAAAAACCCAAACCAAAAACTGAACCGCGGCACAAACCCGAGCCGAACATTTGGGAACAATGAGGGGAAGCTCTGCTCTCCTGATCCAGCGCCCCGGGGCCTGGAGAAACAGGTCAGGTTACTGGATTATTCAGCCCTGGACGTGCAGCAGCAGCAGCATCCCTCTGGGGAAGGCAGGCAGCCAGCAGCGCCTGCCCTGCCATGCTCCCTCAGCGCCAGGGCTGCTGCCCCGCGCGCGCCCCAGCGCCCCCAGCACGGGGTGGAGAAGGGGCCGGACACCTCTGTGCGCCGGCTGCTCCGGGCTGCAGAGCAGCTCGGGGGTGCGTGCGGGCGTGCACTGCAAGTGTGACAAGTGCGGGGTCCCCTCGCATGCGGGGGCTGTGCCAGGCAGGGTTTCCACAAGGACTGGGCACCCAGGTGCGGGCATGCCGGGCTGGCACGGCGCTGCTGGGGCTGGGCCGGGAGGGTTTGTCTGTGGGAGATGTGTAGGCCAGGAGCCAGGAGGCTTTGCATTGTTCATTCTGGCAACTGGCAACTTTGACCTTAACAACAAGGCGCGCTCTGTCAGTGGATTTGGTTTTAAATAGCTGTGTTTGCCCTGGAGCTGCCGCTGCCTTTGCCAGTCAGGAATAAACACGAGAGGAGCAGTTCTGGGAAGTGAGGCTGCGGTGAACCAGCTGGGCTGAAATGCAGAGGAGCGCTGGAGCTCTGCCCCGGGCGGGAACGATGAAACACAAGGGAAGGAGCAGAGGGCCTGGCTCCGCTGGCTGGGGCGGCAGGGGGGCGGCCCCGCTCTGGCCCCTGGACCCAGTGCACGGGTCCCTGGGGGCGTGCGGCAGGCCCAGCTGGGCGGACCCTGGCCAAGCCCTGCAGCAGCCCCTGTCACTGCCAGGGCCAGCCTCCTGGCCGGGCCACCCCGTCATCCAGGAGGGAGGGGAGCAGCACTTGCTTCCTCTCTGGCTGTGGCCCAGCTTCACCTTGGCACTCGCTCAGCCCACCCCCGCCCCGGAGGCCGCGTCAGGGATTCCCTCTCGGAGGCCACGGGTAGCCTCACCCTCCTCCATCGATGCCACCCCGAGCAGGGGGGCTGCAGGTGGCGGGGGCTACGCGCTGTCCTCCTGTATTTCCTACCCCACGTACCCTGGGGCAGAGCACGGGCGCTTATGCTGAAGGAGTGGGCTCCTTTTGGAAGAGGCCAGTGCTGGGCACGGGGCTGAGCCCTCCTGGGGCTGTCTGCGGGGAGGGACGCCCAAGGGAGGGAAGTCTCCCAGGCCGGCTGCCCCTGGGCACCAGAGGCAGCGCGTGCTCCTGCCTCCCTGCCCGGAGGACGGGCTGCCGTCTGACCAGCTCCGCCGAGGCAGCGCCCGCAGGACTTGCTCCGGGGGCAGAGGCTGCAGCCCTGAGCAGGCGGAGTCTGATCTGGCATCGGCGCGGTGCGCGGCTGGACCCAGGCCGGGCTCGGGCGCGGGCAGGGCACCGCTGCAGAGGGGGGCTCGTGTCGGGGCGGAGCTGGGGGGCGCAGGGTGCGGGAGGGGGGGGGGGGGG